AATATTCGTTTGATAAAATTAATTTTTCTTGAAAGGAGGCTAATTTGTTAATTTGAATTAAATAATCACCTAAACTCAATATTATAGGGTTAAAATAATTGCTAATTGATTATTGGATATTATATAAAACAACCCATCGAATATTGGAATTATCTATGCTAATTAATCATTGTTTGTATAAAATAACATAAGTACATTAGACAACGATGGTATTATCCCAGGAATCTTGCATTAATTATTGTCAGTATGATTGGAAGCCAAATGTACCTTTGTGATATACAACACGTAAAACTCTCTCTCTCTCTCTCTCTATATATATATATATATAGTTTTTCAAGACGTGCTGGCTTCCAAATAGATTATGCCCTTGTTTGATTTTCATTACATTACATTACATTTTATTTTTCTTTCTCCTATTTTTAACCACACAATCTTCCATAAAATAATATTACATGTAAATCGAAAATTTTTCTTTCTTTTTCAACCACTTATTTTTCAAAAAATACTATTCTATACATTAAATTTTCCCCGTAATGGTCAGTATGATTGGAAGCCAAATGTACCTTTGTGATATACAACACGTAAAACTCTCTCTCTCTCTCTCTCTATATATATATATAGTTTTTCAAGACGTGCTGGCTTCCAAATAGATTATGCCCTTTTTTTATTTTCAGGCCACAAAACTCCTAAATGTTTATTGAATAAAACATTAGTAAGTCTAGCATTTTGAGCCTATCAAGTCATACACGAAACTCAATTACCCGGTTTGACCTGCATTATTTCAAAAAAATATATTCTTAAATAGTAATTTGACATTATTTCAACCTTACTTTTTTTAAATAAAATAATATTACACACAAATTCAAAACTCTTCCTTATTTTTTTAACTACACATTTTCCATCAATCTACTATTTCAAGATACATTCTTTCAAAATAATGGAGCTCAAACACACTATATTGTTAAATCAAGCAAGATTTTCAAGAAATCTCTTTTAAGATTTTGCCATTTGTACACAAAACTTTCCCACTCATTGGCTGGACGACGCACAAGTGTCCCCCGAATATGCACGGGGAAAAATCTCTTGTACATATAGTATAACTCTTTTATATATATATATATATTAAACTCTTTGCCTTGTACTATCACAAGGTCGAGCTGTCCTCCACGTAGTAAAGTTTTTCAATATATATATATAGATATATATTAAAAACAATAATGTCACTTTCCGACAAAGTGACTGAATCATAATATAACTTAAGATTTTATCTAAAATCTTGAAGAAAGGAACACTTCAAACTTTTAAGATTTTGCCTCTTAAACAAGGTAATTAGCTCACGTTAAAACATTGGCAAAAAGGTCAAAATTAAAGTAGGTATTTTGCCTAACTAAATTAAGTGGGAAGGCTGAAGAAGCAAGCTGCCCTTTTTGCTTCCACCTAGAAAAAATTAACTCATACCAAATCACGATTCATCAAGTTAACGGTTACATTCAATTGTACTTTTAAGAATCGTATAACACACAATATTAAACAATAATGTAATGAATTTAACTTTCATTTCCTTGCTTAATCCTTATAAGAGTTGTCAAATCGAACGTTCCAAGCAATAAAATAATATTTTGTTCAAGCTAACGTTTCTAAGCATAGCATACTTGTGCTTCTATGAAAGCATGACATATTTGGTGCTTCAAGAAATAAACTTTAAAGCAGAACTAACAGTACAGCCACCAAATGAAAAAGAGAGACAATCTGGGGGTCAACCAATCAAGTAGACCTAAGTTCTCTAACTGTCCATGGTCGAGCACACACAAAAAAAATAATAATAATAAATAAAGAAATAAGACCTCATGTAACTGCATTTTGCAATGTCAACCTTAGTCTCTTCCATCATTAAGACCTGCAGACATATAAAATAGGGTATGCAATAGAGGCCCCCGGGGCATATCTCAGTGTTGGAAAGGATAAGGGTGATGTACACTCAACCTTGCTGGTAGCCTCGGTGTGAGGGTTCGTTTCCTAAAACGTGGATTGTGACTCTTTGTGGGTACTAATTTACATACAGCTCTTGTTCCTTAACCTTTTGTGGTACATCCCGCTATTAACCTCTCTCACGATACTCCATGAGCGGGACGGTGAAGGACCCTTAAAGTTGGGGTTCAACCTTTATTTTTAGTGTATGCAAAAGAGTCATAAAATCTTCGGAGTCTTGTAACTTAGCTTTTTAGTTGACTCGATTTTCCAATGATCAAGATACATGAGAAACTTTTATTTCTGTTACGTGTTGTCATACTTGGCCAACAAACTTGGGCCTATGGCCCTCTCAATCCGAGCCACGTGGCATTCCAGCCGAGGTGGCATGTATGGCCGAGGCCCTTCATGCCGAACTCCATATACTGAGGCCTTGAAAGTTGTCGAACTCCATATACTGAGGCCTTGAAAGTTGTCGAAGCCCTGAAGCGGAAGTAATACATGAGCGGCAGAAGCCCCCGAACCATGAAGGAACGTTTTTCATGATCACCTCTCCCAAGAGATCTTCTATATAAATATCTTGTTTGAATGATTGATGGAACGTTTATCATGAGTGCATGTGTCAAGTCTTTTCACTAGCATGGGGGTTCAGCACAAGTAATAAATGTGCAGCAAGCTAGCAAGTCAATGATACCTAGGATTGAATGTTTGAATTAAGGAGATGAGGCCACGTGCCACCTCATCTAAGGACTGTCATTTCACATGTAACACTATAAATACTTCCCTTGTATAACATTGAAGGGCTAATGCAAAAATTAATACAAGAACCACATTTTACTCTCTCTTTCATATTATTTTACAACACAATACGAGTCCATACATATTTACATGCACTCGCATGAGCACCGATTGGTAATCATTGTACAATCAGATTAAGAACATCCCGTCGAATTTCGAACGTTCTCGTCCCGCGTCGTTGAGCTACTCCCACGCCTCTGATTCGTTCATTCTAAACCGTCCACATGTCTTAGCGTGTAGGACTTTCGCTCACGTGTGCGCGGGTGGGTCCGACATTTGTTGGTAACACTTTTTGGGGTCAACAGATTAGCGCCGTCTGTGGAAAACCATACCATAACCACGAACAACCTTGTGGTGGAAGCTTATTGAAGAATATTCGGGCACCCCCCCTTGAAAAATGATTTGTTTTTGAAAAAGAAGTAGAGGAAGCCCCACAACTTAGCAAAATCTGAAGTTAGACGAAAATAAAATAAGTTCAAACGAAGACACACCCCCAGGAGGGTAAGAGAAAACACAAATGTACCTCCTCCACCCGCTGCCCCAGCAGCCCGGCAAAGACTCCACCACCACCAAAGAAGAGGTGGAATGCGAGCAACGGCCCGACTGTCAAGAGAAACGGCTGCCATGGCGGCCAACATGAAAGATATTGCTAGCCAAAACTTGGCTATGAGGGAGCTCATGACCCAAATGCAGGGCCAGGGGAGCTTCCTCATTCCTCCATACGCCCATCAGGGGCACTATCAGCAAGAGGACGAAATTCAAAGTCATAGAACTGCCTCGCCGGACTATAGCCGAGGTAGAAGCCCATTTGAAAAGGAAGTGGAAGTTGATGTTTCCTCCAACTACGCTTCTGGCCGACCCACTGAGGTCCCATTGAACCATGATAACTTCCCACCTCCGTATGAGCAAGAGTCAAGACATAGGAGGGCAGGCAGTGTATTTGACAGAATTAGCCCTGCTGAACCGAGGCTTAGGCAACAGTAGACACACCAGCCTTGGACAAGGCCACAACTTCCACCTCCGATGCCCCAGCAGCCGGAAGAAAGGCATGAAAATATCCCCCGTGTTGCTCCGCCTAGAAATAGGCACTAGAGGAGGGAGGAAGAGGCTAGGAACCGTCCCGGAACCTCTCACCAACAATCACGGCAAGAGGCCGAGGAATATGATTCAGATGAACGGCAGAGGCCCTGTGACTTGGACGATGACGATGAGAATCTACCGTTCTCAAGGGAACTAAGGAATGCCCAGGTTCCAAGCCATTATGTAATGCCAAAGATACCAAAGTATGATGGAAGAGGCGACCCGGAGAAGCACCTGAATGCTTATAAAACCCACATGAGCCTCAGGGGTGCCACCCCAGCTGTGAAGTGCAGAGCTTTCCATTTAACACTTAGTGGAGCGGCTAAAATATGGTATAGCAGGTTACCACTTGGGAGCATAAGAAGTTGGACCGAGTTCAAGACAACATTCTTGAAGAGGTTTGCGGTAAGCAAAGAAGGAAAGGCCCCCATCCAACGTCTCCAAGACATGAGACAAGCACATGGGGAGTCCCTAAAGAGCTTAATATCTCGCTTTATCGATGAAATGACGTATTGCGTGCAAGTTACCGACTGTGAGGCACTATCCGCATTAAGGGGAGGCTTGAACATGAATACCTTATTTTGGAGGGACGTGCAAAATTAAGATCTCACCACCTATGATGCCCTACTCGAGATGATGAGGCGAGAAATCATCAATGAAGAATTGATTGAGCATAGAAACAGGGCAAGTAGAGGCCTCCTACCTCCTCAGAGGCAGCGTGCTAGAGGGCCGACATCCCACCTGATGGACTACTAAATGGACCAGGCTGGGAATGAGAGTTCCGGCCAAGCACTTGCCACCACCATTTTGAACACGGTTCCTACCTTGGCATATGAGGATATCAACCCAATCACTAACACCCAGCAGATGGAAACTCCCCAAGGATCCCATAGGGAGAGAGGTCAAGGCTGGGGATTGGGACCTAGAAATAGGTCAAATCAGAACCCACCAGGATACTGTGTACACCACGGGTCCTATGGACACGACACAGCAGATTGTCGAGACTTTGCGTACCGCTCCCGGCTGAAACCCCCTAGGGACAGAAATGAATCACCCCAGGCAAACAGGCCCCCACCCAGGCATGACGATCGACGTGGGCGCGAAGAGGCTGTTCCTTGTTAAAGGGATGTTTCTCCACGACGAAAGAGCGTGATATGGAGAGGCCCAGGGAAGGGCACATGCACCGAAGAAATCGACAAGCCCAGAAAGAGGCTTCTATCCACGAGATAGATACCATATTTGGAGGCCCGTATGTTGGCGGTGAAACACGAAACACCAAAAGGAATTACGTCCGGGAGGCTAAACACCCCCCTTTGGCAAGCTACATTGTGGACAGCAGCTCTCGGAGGAACCAAGTTTCACCCATTGTCTTCACCCAGGAAGACGCCGAAGGAGTTCACTATCCCCACTGCGATGCACTTGTTGTGAGAGCCGTTATAGCTCGGAATGGGTTCAAGCGAATGTTAGTTGACAACGGTAGTTTAGTCAACATTCTATTCGGATCCGCCTTTGATAAGATGATATTGGATCATCAGTTGACACCCACTACAACTTCTCTATACGAATTCACCGGAGATAGCATCACTCCAAGGGGAAAGATAACACTCGCCGTGGAGATGGGAGATTCTTTCCAAACTATGATGAACTTCATGGAGAACCTCATTGTCGACAGTCGATCGGCCTACAATGGGGTATTAGGCAGGCCAGCCCTAAAAGAATTGAGAGCAGTCACCTCCATCCATCATCTATGCATGAAATTCTAGACGAAAAATGGGGTGGCAACGGTGAGAGGTGACCAAAGAGGATCGAAAGAATGTTATCTAAGCTCCATTAAAAAGGTAGAGCCTCGAGACATCCATGTAATCATAGCCGATATAGTCATGGCTGATGTCCCAGGTAAAGCTCCCACTGAACCAGAAGATATCGATATGATTGATGCACCACCCAACTCGGAGGTATTGGTTATTGATGAGATCGATCCCTGCATAATTGAACTTGAGCCTCAAGCATCCCCAGTTGAGGAACTTGAAAGCTTCTCCGTAGACCCCCGAGACCCATCCAAGGTGCTAAAAGTAGGCAAGGGCTTATCCAACATTTTAAAGGAAAAGATTAAAGATTTCTTTAGTCAAAACATTGATATCTTTGCGTGGAAGCATGAGGAAATGGTGGGCATAGACCCCAAGTTCAGTTGCCACCACCTGAAAATCGATCCTAAGGTTGACCTGTACAGACAAAAAAGGAGAGCCCTCAATCCTGAAAGGTATGAGGCTCTGAAGGAAGAGGTTCAGAAGCTCATCCAAAACGACTTTATCAGGGAGGCTACCTATCCGAGGTGGGTCTCCAACCCAGTGTTAGTAAAGAAACACAATGACAAGTGGAGGGTGTGCATCGATTTCACCAACCTCAACAGAGCTTGCTCGAAAGACAGCTTTCCTCTCCCAAGAATTGACCAACTAGTAGACTCAACGGCTGGGCACGAGTTGTTGAGCTTTATGGATGTTTACTCCGGCTACAACCAAATACCCATGCACCCGGCCGATGAGGAGCACACCTCTTTCATCACAGACCGAGGCCTTTATTGTTATAGGATGATGCCCTTCGGGTTGAAAAATTTCGGAGCGACTTACCAAAGGCTTGTCAACAACATGTTTATGGACCTCATCGGTAAGACAATGAAGTTATGTTGGTAAAGAGTTTGGAGACAGAGGACCATATAAGGCACCTCAACAGTACCTTCCAAATCTTGAGAAGATATAGGATGAGGCTCAATCCTCTCAAGTGTGCCTTTGGGGTACCTCCGGCAAATTCTTAGGATACATGGTCAATCAATACGGAATTGAAGCCAACCTGGAGAAATTGAGGCCCTATACAAGATGAGGTCCCCCCAAAAGCCAAAGGAAGTGCAAAGTTTGATCGGGCGAGTGGCCACACTTAACCGCTTCGTCTCCAAAATTACAGACAAATGCCTCCCATTTTTCAAAGTACTGAAAGTTGGGAAGAAATTTCAATGGAACGAGGAATGTGAAGAAGCCTTGCAAGGCCTGAAAAGGCACCTCGGGCAGGCCCCCCTCCTCTCCAAACCGAAGCCCGGTGAGACCCTACAGCTATATCTAACCGTTTCCAATGAGGCCATCAGTTCGGTTCTAACCCGAGAAGAGGGACCACCCAACTCCCCATTTACTATACAAGTAAAGCACTCCTATCGCAGGAAACTCGTTACCCCGATATGAAAAAGCTCACTCTGGCCTTGATCACGGCCTCCAGGAAATTGAGACCTTACTTCTAAGCTCATACCATCCATGTACTGACAAACTTTCCCCTGAGGCAGGTACTCCAAAAACCCGATGCCTCAGGAAGATTGTTGAAGTGGGCAGTAGAGCTAAGTGAATTTGATCTCGTGTTCAAGGCTGGGGCAGCCCTCAAGGGTCAAGCCTTGGCTGACTTTGTGGCAGAATTCACCAACTTACCCGAGGTAGATGAAATCATAGAACCCATCGACCCGCCTACGTGGAACTTATTCGTGGATGGGTCTGCTGGAGACGCCGGCTCAGGTGCTGGAGTAGTCCTCATTAGCCCTGAAGGTCACAAGCTAAACTCAACGGTGAGGTTCGGGTTCAAGGCTACCAACAATGTAGCAGAATACGAGGCACTACTTGCAGGCCTCAGGCTGACCAAGGAAATGCAAGTAAAGAGGCTCCTCATCAGTAGTAACTCCCAGCTGGTTGTTAGCCAAGTAAATGATAACTTCTCCACCAAGGATAAAACGATGACCTCCTACTTGAAAATGGTGATGAACCTCATCCCATCCTTTGACAAATTCGAACTAACCCAGATCCCTCGCATCGAAAATTCTCATGCGAATGCACTCTCCAAGCTCGCTAGTAGCAAGGATTCAGAACTTCTCATGGTAGTACCTATAGAGCACCTCCTCCTACCATCGACCGAGGCCCCAATATCATGTGGGTCGCGGGGACCCCCACCTGGATGCAGCCGATCGTAGCATACCTTAAAGACTAGGTACTTCCCACTGACAAGCTTGAGGCCTACAAGTTAAGGAGGAGGTCAGCCCACTTCCTTTTCATTGATAATGTTCTCTATAAGAGAAGCTTCTCCTCCCCACTCTTACGATGCGTCGGAGGAGAAGAGGCTAATTACACATTAAGAGAGGTCCATGAGGGCGTGTACGGCAATCACTCCGGAGGTCTATCTTTAGTGCAAAAAATATTGAGGCAAGGGTACTACTGGCCTATCCTGAAAAGGGACACCCTCGAGTTTGTACGAAAGTGTGACAAATGCCAACGATTCTCTTCGGTACAAAGACAACCGTCATAGGATTTGACTGCGGTCTCCAGCCCTTGGCCTTTCTCAAAGTAGGGTGTGGACCTCATAGGTCCTCTACCTAAAGGTAGAGGAGGTGCAAGCTTTGCGATTGTGGCCATCGATTACTTTACCAAATGGGTTGAGGCTGAACCACTAGCAAAACTTACAGAAGCAAACACTTCCAGATTCTTATGGAAGAATATTATATGCTGGTTCAGGATTCCCTATTCAATCGTCTCAGATAATGGTAGGCAATTCGAAACAACAAGAAGGTCAGAGCACTATGCGAGGAACTCGGCATCAAGAAGCATTTCTCCACGCCTCACCACCCACAAGCAAATGGCCAGGTTGAGGCTGTCAACAAAACAATCAAACATGTCCTAAAAAGGAAGCTTGACGTGTCAAAGAGGGCTTGGGTGGATGAGCTACCACAAGGACTTTGGGCGATCCGAACCACCACGAGGACCCCAACCGGGGAAACACACTTCCTTATGGCATTTGAAACTGAGGCAATGAGCCCCGTTGAGGTCGGACTCCCATCTCCAAGACGTCTGCATTTTAGTGAGATGATAAACGACGAGCTTAGGAGGTGTGACCTCGACTTCATTGTTGAAAGAAGCGATGACTCCCAGTCGAAGCTCGGTACATATCAAAGGAAGATGTCGAGGTACTTCAACTCAAAGGTAAAGAAGAGATCATTCTGAATCAATGACTTGGTTCTTAGAAGAGTTTTCCTTTCCTCAAAGGAACCCAGTTCCGATTTCCTGGGTCTGAAATGGGAAGGCCCATATAAAATTAAAGAAGAGATCCGGCCTGGGACTTATTGGATTGAAGACATGAACGGCAAGACCCAACCCCGTCCATGGAACATCGAGCACCTCAGAATCTATTACCAATGAATGTACCACCTCGCTGGATGATCTTTTCCAGCTCTTGTAACATTTCTATGGTTCAATAAAATTCTGTGATTAAATTAACGTGTCACATTTCTACCTCACCTCGGAGGAGAGGCAAGCGTCCATTTCTTGGCCACCTCGCTTGAAATCCGAGGCGCATGCACATGCCCCCTTTTTTACGAAGCTGAACGTCAAGAGGAGAAGTCTCAACATGGTTGCACCATCTACCATGTTGGGAAGCGTCATCACATCGAAGGAGAGGCAAGCGTCCATTTCTGGGCCACCTCGCTTGAACTCCGAGGACTATGCACATGCCTCCCTTTTTGACGAGGCTGAACGTCAAGGGGAAAAGCCTCAACATGGCTGCACCATCCATCATGTTGGGAAGCGTCGTCACCTCGGAGAAGAGGCAAGCGCCCATTTCTGGGCCACCTCGCTTGAACTCCGAGGCGCATGCACATGCTCCCTTTTTGACGAGGCTGAACTTCAATGGGAGAAGCCTCAACATGGCTGCACCATCCATCATGTTGGGAAGCATCGTCACCTCAGAGGAGAGGCAAGCGCCCATTTCTGGGCCACCTCGCTTGAACTCCAAGGCGCATGCACATGCCTCCCTTTTTGACGAGGCTGAACGTCAAGGGGAGAAGCCTCAACATGGCTGTACCATCCACCATATTGGGAAGTGTCGTCACCTCGGAGGAGAGGCAAGCGCCCATTTCTGGGCCACCTCGCTTGAACTTCGAGGCGCATGCACATGCCTTCTTTTTTGATGAGGCTGAACGTCAAGGGGAGAAGCCTCAATATGGCTACACTATCCAGCATATTGGGAAGCGTCGTCACCTCAGAGGAGAGACAAGCGCCCATTTCTGGACCACCTCGCTTGAACTCCGAGGCACATGCACAGACCCCTTTTTGATGAGGCTGAACGTCAAGGGGAGAAGTCTCAACATGGCTGTACCATCCACCATGTTGGGAAGCGTCGTCACCTCGGAGGAGAGGCAAGTGCCCATTTCTAGGCCACCTCGCTTGAACTCCGAGGGGCATACACATGCCTCCCTTTTTGACGAGGCTGAAAGTTAAGGGGAGAAGCCTCAACATGACTGTACCATCCACCATGTTGGGAAGCGTCGTCATCTCGAAGGAGAGGGAAGTGTCCATTTTTGGGCCACCTCGCCTTAATTCCGAGGCGCATGCACATGCCTCCCTTTTTTACGAGGCTGAACGTCAAGAGGAGAAGTCTCAACATGGCTACACCATCCACCATACTGTACCACTTGAACTTCGAGGCTCATACACGAATCAGAGTAAAATTCCAAGTCCGGCTGCAACGATTTATTCTTAAGACCTCCTCAGGTTACGTCTATTAAGTTTAAGTACAATTCATTTGCTTAAGTCCAATATTGGTCATAACTTTCATACAATTTATTTGTTAAAGTGATTAGAGTTGGGATACCCAATTAAAGTTATTTAGTTCTTCAATCAATATTACGTTCAATTACTTAACAAGGCCAATACACTTCAGAGAAAGGAACAACATTAAACGAAAAAGATATTATATTGATTTTCAATTGAAATTACAAAGGAGGGTCTGAGGCCAGTACATCATGAATAACTGAAAAGAAAACTATCCTAAGCCTGCGAAGGTGATGAAGGAGCTTCAGCAGCTGGGACTTCCGCAGCTTGAGCGTTAGAATTTGCTTCTCTTGCCTCTGCTGCTTCATCTCCAACCGCCTCATCAGCTGGGGTTTGAGGCACCTCGTCCACAAACTCCGACCTGAGTTGCGACGGGTCCTGATTTGGGTACAACTCCTCAGCCCACTCCATCACCTCGGCATAAGCAAAGCTCCTCCAGTAGGTGCTGAAACTCTGGTACTCTACAGTATTGTGAAAATTGGCAATGTAGTCCTTCACTGCCTCCTTCCTTGCATTTTGGGCTTCCTCCCTAGCATGGGTTGCATCATCGACATACCAATTAATTTGGCCCTCGATGAACTTGTATGCATCTTGGGTCCCTGCCAGCTCCCTGTTAGCCTTCTCCAAGGCTTCGGCTGTCACCCTCTGGTGGTCATTGGAAACCTCCACCTTCTTTGTCAAGGAGGCTACCTCGCACTGGGACTCATGCACCTCCCTCTTTAACGCCTCTATTTGGGCCAAGGTAGACTCCAACTTGGCCGATTCTTCAAGTTTTTGGGCCCTACATACCTCAGCCTCGACCCTGGCTGCCTTCAGTTCCTCTGCAAGCGAGACTGTCTTCCTCTTTGAGGCAGTGGTCCTCGTTTAGAAGTCAGTGAGGGCGTTCCTGCATTCCAGTGCAAGACCAAAGGTCCTAACACTTTGGCTCACAAAAGCCTTGGTCAAGTCCGTCGCATCACAGGAGGAGGCGTGCAACTGCCACCGATCCGTCCAGAATCTATAAAAACTTTCTGTGGCGCTTCGAATCTCAGGTGGGAGGGCCTCCACCAATGCTTGGGCCAGAGGCTCCTCCCTGTCGGCAAGGAAGCTTGGAGACTTGCCTTGTACTCGAACAGGTTTCTCTTTGGTAGCCTCCTCCTCAGCCACCTCGGCTTGCCTCCTTGCAGCCTCCTCTCTTGCCTCATCAGCCTCTGCACGTCTGACCATTTTAATCTTAACCGCTTTCGAGGTGGCTTCTAGTAGCTTCGGCATTCGGTTTCTTTGCCTTGGGACACAGAACTCCCAAATTTTCTAGGTGAGCTAGAGATGTGCACGAGTTTCCTCTTCTTCGCCTCCTCAGGGACTTTCTCCTTCTCCTGAGGCTCCTTGGCCTTTTCTGGCTTCTGGGGGGTCCCCTCTTCGGAAGCCCGCAAGGTGCTATCCTTGGAGAGTCGTTCAACTCTGCCTCGAACCTCCTTGGCACCACTTGACCCCCGCTTCAGGGGCCTCGCCTTCACAGTGGAAGTTGCCCTCAGTTTGGACGCCATGTCAGGAGCTGGTTACTCCTTCCTCTTAAAATTATTTGCAGAACACAGCGCGTCAGTACCAATACGAAAACACAAAAATATACAGTGTCGGAGCTTCATACCTTTGGAGGCCATCAGTTCGAAGTCCAGGAAGTAGCGACTCCCGTTGATGAGGTGATCGAAGTGGCGAAGCTTTAGAGGTCTCTTGTAAATATCCTCTATCACTTCAAACTCTTCCCTGCTCAGCTCGAACCTCGTACTGCAATCTGCAAACGAGGCATCAACAGTTAGACAAAAAATTAAAGCTATAAACGGAATGCAAACTACTTAGGGTGGGAGACTCACGAGTTTTGTAGTACTTGATTGGTACTGTGCAAGACAGGGCTTTATCTCCTTCCACCGCCTGCCACCTGCCCCTCACCCAGAACCACGACTCCTTCCACCCCTTTATGGAAGAAGGCAGCCCCACCACAAAGGTGCATGGGCCCCCAGGGAGTCAAATAATACCACCCCTTAGACTCCTTACCTATTATCCTAGACTGGAATAGGGTTATGAAAACATGGAGAGGCATGTCCTCCCCAAGTGACACTTCCTTCCACAGGAAGTACGAGCAGACCAACTGGCTCCAACCGTTTGGCAGAACCTGGGTCGGCGACAACATGAAATTCCTCAGCACAGCCCTGAAGAAGGGGTGCAAAGGAAGACACATACCTGCCTTAAATAAATATTCGCTCACTGCCACGCACCCCGACCTCGGATAACAGGCTCGCTTATGGGCCTCGGGCACTAGCATTTCCACATAATGAGGTACACAGTACCTCTTCCTTATCTCCCCCAACCTCTTCGACGTCATATTCGAAGGGACTCTAGACACCCTCAACTCTATATTATAATCTACCTCCTCCTTGGTCATAGCAATCTACTCAACTTAGGAGTCCCCCTATAACTAGACCCCCGACCAAACGATGTGACTGTGACCAACTCCCTACCCGAAGTCGACTCCATCTCAGAAAGCAACTGAGAACATAATAAGAGGAATTTTTGTGAAAAATACCTACTGAAAAACTACGTGAACAGAGTTTGCCGAAAAAGCAGTGGACGGAATTGTCTCAACGCCGGAATGTCTAAGCTCTAAAAGGAGAAATCAGATTGCAAGTGCTGAAAAATTCTGAAAATGGAAGTTCTCTCGCCTTTTATAAAGGATCCAGACGAATCCCCACCTTCAGATCGAATCTCATTCAATCTGAACCCTTCAGTTTAAATCAAATCCAAGGCGTAGAATTCAAATAGTTTTTTAAACCTACGCCTCAAATTCAAGCGTGTCCCCCACGCGCCTCATCCAATGCGTCTGCTTCTAGAAGCTCCAGCTGTTCTAATAATTACGATTTTAATTTGACCGCGGCATGCACCTTGGAAGTCGCAACGGTTCAGTAAAGTCCACACATTACATAAATGACTATACTTGGACTTGGAGACTATTGTTACGTGTTGTCATACTTGGCCAACAAACTTGGGCCTATGGCCCACTCAATCTGAGCCACGTGGCACTCCAGTCGAGGTGACATGTATGGCCGAGGCCCTTCATGTCGAACTCCATATACTGAGGCCTGTGAAGATTTTCAAAGCCTTGAAGCGGAAGTAATACATGAGCGGCAGAAGCCCCCGAACCATGAAGGAACGTCTTTCATGATCACATCTCCTAAGAGATCTTCTACATAAAGATCTTGTTTGAATGATTGATGGAACATTTATCATGAGTGCTTATGTAAAGTCTTATCACTAGTATGGGGGTTCTGCACAAGTAATAAATGCGCAGCAAGCAAACAAGTCAAGGATGTCTACGATTGGATGTTTGAATTAAGGAGATGAGGCCACGTGCCACCTCATCTAAGGGCTGTCATTTCACATGTAACACTATAAATACTTCCCTTGTATAACATTGAAGGGCTAATGCAAGAATCAATACAAGAACCACATTTTACTCTCTCTTTCATATTATTTTACAACACAATATGAGTCCATACATATTTACATGCACTCGCATGAGCACCGATTGATAATTATTGTACGATCGGATTAAGAACATCCCGCCAGATTCCGAACGTTCTCGTCTCGTGTCGTTGAGCTATTCTCACGCCCCTGATTCATTCATTCTAGACCGTCCACGTGTCTTAACGTGTAGGACTTTCGCTCATATGTGCGCAGGTGGGTCCGACATCTATTGGCAACACTTTTTGGGGTCAACAATTTCCACGTAGATACATTGAAAATGAAATATATAATTGTAACATTGTAATGAATCTAAACCAAAGAAACTGACTATTTTCGCCATATGCTCATCTACCTTGTACTAATTCTATGGGTATCTAATCGACATCAGGCATGAAATATGCTATTTGTTAACACGTTTAAACATTTGTCATAAGGGACGAAATCAGCAGTTCTCATATATTAAAAAGAAACAACTTAGAGCCATTATAGCAATTTTAGCAACTCATTAAGATGATATCAAATATTCAGAATACGAACAATGGTCTTTATGTTATACAAGTGGCGTGGCGATATTAAAATTTGCATTATCATCCGCAAATGCTGTGGTATATAAGTAAGATCTGTTATGTCAAAATGTAATTCCAGTCACTAACTTCAGTTTTGTTCTTGGCAAATAATGTGAACTATGCGCTGCATAAAGACCCTTTGATAGAAGAACGAAAGCTGTTTAGACAAAAATTAGGGAAAACAAAACTTTAATAGGATATGGCTCTTTCGATGCAATAAACCAATGTGAAGCACATTAATCGCGAGTAACAATTTTCCTTTCCTTCACATTAAATACGAGAAGTTTTCTTTAATTAGTCGTGAGAAAACTTATAAATTTTTCATCATTTATTATCGCAAGTAAAAATTTTCCTTTCCTTCTCATTAAGCACGAGATGTTTTCTTTAATTATTTATGAGAAAACATATAAAATTTTCATTTTTGACCTCATTTTCTAAAACTCATTTTCAATCACATTATTCTCCCAATAAAATAATTTTTGTACATAAACTAAGGGTCCGTTTGATTGCAAAGATAAAATTGAATTGAATTGAAAACAAATTTCAGGTAATTGAATTGCCTAAAAATTATTTTCCTGGGAATTGTAAATTAATTGTGTTTGATTGGTATAATTTTTCACGTGAAAAATGTTGAAATAAAAATATTTTTTTGGGTTCATTTAGCTTTGTTTTGCATGAAAATTGTTAATTAAAGGGATATATTTTACTGGTATTGGGGATGAAATTTGTTTCTATTGCAAAAAAAAAATAATAATAATAATAAATTAAAATTAAAAAAATTAAAAAAAATTCAAGAAATTCAAGAAAGTCATCTATCTTTTAGTGTTCGTTTGACTTTGTTTTACATTAAAATTGTGGGAAATATTTTTTTAGAATAATTTTTAAAATTTGTTTCCATTGCCAAAAAAAAAAAATTGAAAAAAAAATATAGCTACAGTGGCTGGAATTCGAATTCTATGAAAACATGGAAAATTGCTAGTTCTCAAGAATAAAAAGAAAGCAAATTCCTTGAAAAAAAGCCTACCTAGAAGATAGAAAATAGAATTGATTTTCCATTTTCCATGGAAAACTTGGTACAATCAAACAGGGCCTAATATTTTTTTCTTATTTTAGAACACACATTCTAAGTAAAATAATAATAATAATAAATAAATAAAAATAAAAATCACTTCTCACAAATCTATTACTCAAAAACTCTCCTACCAAACAGGGCAAAATGCCCCGTAATATTTTTTCTTTTTGGTGTGAAATTCTCTATTGGGTAACAGATTTTGGTTCTTCAAATCCATTCCATTTTCACTTCACCTGAGCTTTTTGTGTTGGACAAATGAATGATATTTTTCTTTGGCTAAAGCCTCTTGTCCCGGGCCATATAGGCCTGGGATTTCCCAGGGGGACACATGTTCCCCCTATAGGTGGGCAACCGTGCTACAGAGCCTGGGGATTAAATCTCAGGCTCCAATCCAGGGCGGAGGTCGGTTGTTGATTTTCTGCACTTGGGGGGCCCATCATCAAAATCGGGGCAGAGGCTGTAGAGGTGGCAAAGCCTCTGCCCCTAGAATGGAACCCGGGACTTCAGCATTTTCCATAGGCTGGGAGCATTTTGTGTTAGACAAATGAATGATATTTTTCGTTGGCTAAAGCCTCTTGTCCCGGGCCACATAGGCTCGGGATTTCCCGGGGGGACACATGTTCCCCCTATAGGCAGGCAACCGTGCTACAGAGCTTGGGTTTAAATCCCAAGCTCCAATCCAAGGCCGAGGTCGGCCGTTGATCTTCTACACTTAGGGAGCCCACCATCAAAATCGGGGGCAGAGGTGGCAAAGCCTCTGCCCCTAGAATGGAACCCGGAACTTCAGCATTTTCCATAGGCAGGGGGTCTGTCTCCCCCCCAGGAAATCCCGGGCCTATGATTTCTAGCAAATTTCTTTTTCTTTCAAAAAGACAGTATGAACTAATATCTTAGTATCACAGTTTCACATTTTCTGTGCTAGAGAACTTGTATATTTTCCTATAATATATCAAAGTTCCACCTGTTTAATATTATAATTTTTAGGGTCTTTGCCTCCTATATGGTTACCAGGATAAAATTGCTCTTGGTGCTGCAAAGGGTCTTGCTTTTCTTCATGAAGAGGCAAAAAGACCTGTGAAATATTGCAATATTTATATTCTGTAAGTTCCCTGCGCTTGTTGGTTAACCACATTCATGTAAAATGCATTTTCCCTTGATAACTGATTTTTCCAGGAATATAATGTCAAATTTTCTGATTTTAGACTTTCTAAAGATGCTCCAGATGAAGGAAAAACTCATTTTTCTACCCACGCGAGGGAGCCTATGGTTATGCTGCCCCAGAATATGTCACGACAGACGAGTTTTTTATTCTTCTTTAAATGCTAAGTAATGTTCCTATCAGAAGGACAGGGATTCAAAAACTGGAATAAGAGAACAGAGTCCTAAGATAACTAGAGAAACCTATAGAACAAAGGAAAAGTTCAACTGAAATTTAATGGCTTTAGTAATAGGAAATCATTTCATCTGAGATTATACTACAGCCTCAGCTGAGCTGACGTTTTCCATTCTGAATCTTATACAACCATAGCCGAAAGTCCTCCCTGCTCAGCATCACTCATTTGCTCCGTTGGAATTACTGCATCAACTCCACAACTGAATCTTATGTACAAGTACGACTTCTGTGGTTAACTTCAATATTAAGACAGGAATTTGGCCTATTTAAATGTGTATTTTTTTTATTAAGGTACCATGAACTAAGGTAAGGACAGATGTGATGAAATTTTTCTATGCCCCAGTCACCTGCCATGGAACATTTTATGTTGTAATGTTGCCCGTTTGTCTCTACTCACAAGGCGTTGCGAAGGCTGCTACGGATGGGTTCATTACACTTATCTCAAACTTATTGCTTGTTTATGGCATATCTTGCCTTCATATCATTCTATACCCTTCTAGTGATGCTTAGGAGGCTAGGTGTTTTCCCATCTCCACAGAAAATATGTATGCAAATTTATGGATAAGAATGTTCAAACTTGATCAAAATGTTTCAAGTGTAATTTCTGGGATTTAGGAAGGATGCTTTCTTGCACCAATAGCCCTTCATATGATGTTTGTTACAGTGGGGTATGTTAGATGCCTCTGAATAATTGTTCGAGGTTTTTTACGATGTCTCTTTTTTATTCTGATTGAATTCTATCCTTATCTGTTACAGGACATCTTACATCAAAGAATGATGTCTATAGCCTTGGCGTTGTCTTGCTCGAGATGCTCACAGGTGGAAAGATCTATGGCCAAGGGGAACTTTTATCTAAAAGGTGACCAAACAGCAGCACAGTTGGTCAGATGAGCAAGGTGTGCTACTATTAATAAAATCATGTTCTGAAACATGCAGCAGGAGAACAGAAAATAAAGTCCTCAATTTATAAACAATCGAGAGATTCATGTACATGGCGGTGTTCAACCTCGACTATAACAACAATAAGATCATTTGATAACTGTCTTGATTAGATGACAAAATGATGTTACAAAGCAAAAACTTAAACTGTGCTGGCCTGTTTTATTGTAGTCTGATCTAGTCCCTCTTGCTGGACAGCAAATCATGGAACATATTTACAGTCGCAAGGATTTCCTGAACATGAAATGAATCCCCGATCAAGAGACATCATTTGGCAGTTTCATTTAGTCATTTCCACAGCCCAATTTCGCTTGTTGGATCCATACTTGTATATTTTAGCCCAGAAGAGATAGTGCAAGAAATTCAACGTGCTGAGGACGCACATTAGCCAGTAGAATCTCTCCAGGTGATGGTGATTTAAGTTTCTATCAGAAAGCCATGGCTTGTGCTTGGAGTCACCTGTTGCACTGTTCACTATCGACACAATTACAGTGCTAAGGTAGTATCCCATGGCCAACGATGCCCAAGAAAGAGAAGTGGCCAAAGATCTCATGCTAACTGGTGCCTCCGTGAAGAAAAATTCCAGTAAGCCGGCTAGGGTGAAGAGATCAGCTGATCCAAGAAACAAGTACTGAAGTGCGATCCAGAAAAACGTAATGGGCAATGGTTGGGTGGAGTCGAGTAAACCCGAGTTAGCAGCTACTCTCTTGCGCTTAATTTCAACCATGGCTGCCACTGCCATGGCTAGTATGGAGAGAACCAGACCTATTCCAATGCGCTGTAAGTGTGTAATGCCAGTCTCACTTTTTGTTACTCTTCGTGCGAATGGAACTATTAAATGATCATATACTGGTGCCAGGATCATGATGAAGACTACAGGGAAAACTGGAAGCGAAGCTGGAGGGACTTTTAGTGATCCCAGTTTCGTATTCATGGTAGCAGCTTGTTCTACGGAGAATGTGGAGAGTTGAGCAAGACAGCAATTGAGCATGACAGTGCAAACGAAGACGGGTAGAATTTTGATTACAATCTTGACTTCTTCGACTTGCTGTACTGAGCATTTTAATGCATCGAAAGTTGGCTTGTATATGACTGCTCTGTTGAGGAACTTGAGACTTTGAGATGGGGATTCAAATGTTTCTACAACTTTGTCATGATTTTCTGTAGTCACTTCTTTAGAGGGTGGAGTCGGGGAAGGGCTTGTGGCCATATTTGCAATTGCATTGCTTGGACTTCTTGCCATGCAACTATTTAACATGGCACCAACCAGAACCTGTTCAATGAAGCAAATTATACTCGACTGGACATGACAGACAATAGACAAACATTTGTTTCTCTTTTGTAATAGACGTACCTTAAATATTACTGTAAGTGGGCTCCCATTAGGTATTTTGTTCCTGTAAAATTTTGAGCCTGCTAAAAAGATTGGAATTGACAACAATATTGTCAGTGTGGAAATTCCAAACCCCCATTCCCATCCCTTGTTGTCTTCAATCCACACCACCAATGTCACAGCAAAAAGAGCGCCAAAAGAGAGGCAGAACACAAAATAATTGAAGAAAGTTGATCTTTGCTTTCTTCCGTGAGGGGTGTTCTCGTCGAACTGCTCGGCCCCGTGGGCCGCTAACGACCCCTTAATGCCTCCAACGCCTAGAGCCACTAAATAGAGACCTAAGAAAAGCATTGCAGCCTTTGCACCATGAACTTGTTGGCATGGCAAATTGGCGGTGGCTGGGTTACATTTTGGTGGCTTTAAGGAGCCCGAGTGTGCTTGCACCGTCAGTAAAACCAGTCCCTGTTCCATAATCAAAATTCTTCGAGCAAGTTTAGTACACAATAGTGAACAATGTAGTGAATAAACTTTAAATTTTTTTCCCCTCTTTATACCAAAAAACAGCATCTCAACCAATTTAATAATATATTTAATCGAATTATTTTCAAATGAAAACTAAATTTATGTGCATTTAAAAAGGGTTTTTAATATTGCAGGGTACAAAGGCAATGCAAAATGTTGCAACCAGTGGTGACACCCTATTGGTTGAAACTTGAGTTCTTATCGGTAACGTAGAATGAGACAAAATATTAATGCAAAACACAAAAGCAAAAATAAATGGATATTGAAAATGAAGTTTGCATTTGTACTAACATCCCACGCAAAATTATGGGTCCATTAAAAAAAACAACAAAAAGCTTAATAGTCAAGTCTTTACTAAAATATGTCATCTCTAGATGGCGATTTTCAATTTCAATATATTAATCGCGACATCAAAAATAATATCTAGAGAAATTTACGTATTTATATACGTGATATTGAACCAATAAATATGATCGTTATAAGACGAGACATAATATTAAATGTTGGTTTGTTGACGATGTCACAACAAGATTTCTTATTGGCCATTAGAAGGGGGAAAGTATTTTGCCCATTAAACTATATGTTTGACTTGTGAAATTGAAAAACATAATAAACAAAATAAAGATAACAACCAACCGATTCTTGTGTATCTTATATTTGTAATCTACGCGCAAAACTAGCAAGTAGGCCGGTGGTGTGATCTCAACAATCTTGACCATTGGAAAATTCTTCTAATAATTAATAACTCTCCAAATTTAATGATTTTTACGACGTCTTTTACTAAGGATATACAAGTATTCTATACGTAATGTTCTCATTGACCCTTATATTGTCTTCCCTTTTTAAGTATTTTGCACGTAACATTCTCGTTTAACCCTTTCTTATGGACTAGTCAAGGTTTATATACATTGAAATATCTAGTTATTAATACAAAATGTTCTATAGGTGCAAGTAGTTCATGGGTCACTTTCTTCCAAGAAAGAGGGACTATGCATCATAAAAGTGTGAAAAAGCATCACTACTTGCTAAATTATTCACATTTTCTAACTTTTGATTCAAGCTTTCAAGCAGTTGCTTCAGCTGACTAAAACTTGAAACAATTCTATCAAAAACCATTGGCATATTTGATATGCAGTATTCAGATAAGGCTCGACAATGCTATCCAACCCGAAATTTGTTCTAAAAGTCAAAATAATCCAAAGATTGTTTCAAGACATAGGGATTTTACCAGGAATTCAATTACTGCACTGATCAGATAGATGTGATAAGTTGTGAATAAAGCATCAGACAAAAAGCCACCAAGGAGTGCAAGAAGAAAGGCTGTGCCCATAAAATTTGTGACAGAATTTGCAGAATCTGTGGGGGGAAAATGCATGAACTCCTTTAGGTATAGCACCAAGTTGCTGGCATTTGCCAAATATGCTAAATTCTCCAACACCTCCACCACTGCACAAAATTAATATTCACAAGAAAATCACAGATAAGATTCAAAAATTGGCTAAGAACAAGAATTTAGCTTCTTTTTTCCTTTTTAATGTTATTAAGCAAGATCTAATTCACTGTATTAAACATGTTAACACTCGTGATTTGTAATAAACATTTTTAGCGGTGCAAAGTGGTTGAACGGTTAAAAGTTAAAACAAGATTCTTGTGACAGTGTCCAAATACACTGGCCTGTACAGCATTTATTGGTGAATAAATATGACAAAATAAAGAAGATTTTCCTAAGAAAAGTCTATGATTAAACTAGGTTATTGAGTGAGGTCATACAAAATCCTCCATCACTTCATGGTGCCCTTTTTCACATTATATCAGTATATGCATATATATCACCTGTGGGGTGGGCGATCATTGATCAAGGTTCTTTCAGTTTTTACCCAAAACAAAGGAGGCAGCCAGCATGCCACCATGTTTGCCTCTTACTGCAGGCTTGTTCTTCCAATCTACATAGCCATCCCATGCGCTCAACTGATTTTCCACTTCCTGCAACAAGGAAAAAAAAAAAAGAAGAAACCCCAAACAGGGTACAAGAATGTTAAGAAAACTTACATAGAAAAATGAGAAAATGAGACAGAAAAGGAAGAAAAGAGGAACCCACCATTTTTTTCTCTTATAAATTGAGATCAGGAATCAAGAACTGATCAACGGTGGATCATTTAAATAGGTGGAGAAAAAAAGGGTACAAAAAAAGCTAGAAAGTTTTATACTTTTTCTGTTTTTTTTGTTGGATTTTTATTTTTGAATTAGGGCATTGTTTGTTGGGCACTCAGCACCAAGAAAAAAAAGAAGAAAGAGGAGGTTTTTATTGGCATAGGTTTGGTCTGAAAGATGTATAAATATTAAATACACACCTTGGGTTTCGGGGGGGGGGGGTGTAGGGGGGCAACAAATACTACTAAAAAGAAAAGATATTACAATAACTTTGGGTAATGTTTGACCAAAACCTAGATAATAAATGTAAAGACATTGATGCTCGGAGCATGCTACACAAACTGGGGGGCTGTGACGGGTCTTCGAAAGGCTCCTGTTTGAGCAGCAAAATTCTTGATGCCCCCACGATTGATGATCCCATTTATTGTGTGTTTATCATCGGTCATATTACTAATTGGCAACATTATAAAAATAAAAATAATAAAAAATAAAAAAGGTTGAATGTTTTTACTTATTTTCCTGATGATTATAGGTAGGTATGCAAATATGCAATTAGTGTGAATGAAGAAAACGAATTGATTCTTTCATTCTCAGTCACACGCGTTGCAATAGGATCCTTTAAATTAATATTTGATTTATCACAAAGGAATCCATGGGGTAGAGGCACTTGTGACACTGGTTTAAGGAATTGGAGAGTTTCCATCATCTCTAATTGTTGGAACATAACATTTTAAGAACAAGATACCAAAAATAAAATTGAGAATTATGTAAAATAATTGGAACGTTGTTTAAGAAATTTTTTTATGTGCAATCAGGAAAGTTAACAAATCGGGTTCTTGGTGTCCGATCCTGCATCTCTATAAAAAAAGGATGGCCTACCATTCTTACACTATTGACAAGTCGGACCTTTAGACTCTAAAAAGACCAGTTTAAACAATGACCGTCGTAATTGAAAGAAATGCAATGATTCACAATTACTAACTATTCTCACCTAACCATCAACTACTTTCAGAATGACAAGTGATAGTTGTGACAACACCACCTTATTTTTATTAATCACAAGATAGTAACGACTACATAACATGAGGTAATCATTGCCTGTTGCCGCAGTTGCGACTTAGACATAATGATGACCTATGTGACCGAATTCAACTACCAATCACGAGTCCAAGATTTTGAATGGTGGCACGCCCTTTTGGACAGGGATTTATGTGCATTAGAATAAGTCTCCAAAGTGTATACTACACAAAATTTTTGGAATTTTTTGTCTACAATTAGCGAATTAACCAGTTATGACATACTAAGGAAAAATAACATAAGAGATGATACAATAGGTCACATATTCATATTTCTAAGAATGCAATGGCATGAGCCACGTCCTATCTTTGAAAGCTTTACTAAGATATCACAAAAAAATATGGGTAGTCGAAGCAAAATTGTTGAGAGTCGTGTAGCAACGAACTACTCACTACACATCACATTCCTCTCGTTAATATTGAAGTCATTCTAAATAGCAAAGGAGAGCGCATTGAGCAAGGTTAATGCCTTGGCATCGTTTGGTAAAAAGCGGATATCAAATCTACGACCATATATGCTGAAAATAAAAGAGATTATTAAATGATTTAATAATAAATATTCAGCCAATTTAGATGGACTTTTTAGGTGGGCTCCATATAACATTAATGATATCAATTAGGTGGTAATTCATCTTTGCAGTGTGGAGATATAAGAACAATAATGCTTTTTGTACATTCCATAGATTACATGAAGTTTGACATTCTTTACAAATTCAAAATGTATTTGGCGGGAATGTGTGTTGAAATCAAGAACTATCTAATCATATGCTGCCACGTGGAACAATGCCAAAGATGATGAAAAGACAATGTACAAGTAGCATGGTCCATATAAGAAATTGGCTAAACGAAAACTTGTGTGAATCTCCGAAGTGTGTCTTGAAAAGCATAATTCACATAGTAGTTGTATTTGTTTTTTTATTTTTAATTTTTTTTAATTTTTTGGTCACCAAATAGAAAATTCTTATTCAACTAAAATGCCACAGCACATGACGAATTAAAGAGAGAACTATAAATCAACCAGTGATGACATACTGAAAAAGAATAGCATAATAAACATGACAATGTACCACAATATTCCTATTTCTAGGACTGTAATGACATGGGTCACATCTAGTCTCCAAAAGCAATGCTAAGATATCAAAAAAAATATGGATTGTTGAAGCAAAGATACTGAGTTGTGAGGCCTTGACCTGTCTCACAACCTATCAGCTTTCTTATTAATACTGAAGTCAATTTAAATGGAGTTAAATAGGGTTATTAAGTGGTTTTAATAATGAATTTTTAGCCAATCTTGAGGAAGTTTTTACAGAGGTCTCGTTTCTAATTAACGACGTTAATCACGTGGTAATTAATCTTTATGTGAATGTTGTCTAAATGAAGATTTGTGTGAATTGGATTAAGTCTCCAAAAGTCTATATTGAAAAGCATAATCTTCATAGTTGTTGAATTTCTTTTAGCACCAAATAACAACCTTTTATTAATAGTGAAGCCATTCTAAACAGCAAAGGAGACCATTATGCATGGTTAATGCCTTAGCATCTTCTTGAAAAAAGCAACTACCAAACCTACGACCATAGTCCATAGTTGTTGAAACTAAATGTAATTCAATGAGATTATTGAATGATTTAATAATAGATTAATTTTGAGGGACTTTTATGTAGGTCTCTTTTTTAATTAGTGACGTTAAATTAGGTGATAATTAATCCTTGGTATAAGGAGATTACAATGATATCATAAGTTGGCTAAATGAAAACTAGTGTGAATTGGAATAAGTCTCCAAAGTGTTTACGTAGAAAAGCATAATCCTCACAATCGTTGGAATTATCTTAATATCAAATAGCAACTTTTGTTCAACTAAATTATTGAAATGTACGATGAAATAAAGAAATGACTACAGATCGATCTAGTGATGATATGCTAGGGAAAAAAGGACCAATGGACCATGCCACATTTACCAAATTTTTTATCTAATCTTTTATTGACTACTCACAATAAGAGGTGTAGACCACATTTCGGCTTCTCTCTCTCTCTCTCTCTCTTTTTTAATTATTCACGCAAGTCCCGCGTGCATGTGAGAGGAGGTAAACAATTCGGTACACCTTTAGGTGTACTAATAGAATTATTCGAAAAAAAAAAAAAAGCAAAAGAAGCAAGAAAATGGGTCATATAGTATTTCTATTCTTGGAATATAACGACATGGTCCATATTCCATCTCTGAAAACAATGTAAGATATCACCCAAAAAAATAAAAAAAATAAAAAAAAGAGGAAGAAGAAGAAAAAAGAGTCTACAAAGTGCATATGTTTCTTTTAATGTGATCAAAGAGTATATGTTGTTTTAAATTATGTTTTTAATGTCTCAAAATAAATGGGAATGAATCCCACGTTAAAATGTAAACAAAAAATGTGAACTAGCTTATGAAGTGTTGGATTTTCCTAAATTGGTAATTGTGTAACTCCCTTACGTAAATCTTAGGCTAGCCACGATGGCTCAATGCTATCTTCGGCTAGCCATATAGGAGCCACCCTTTGTGTGTGGTCTCGTGATCTCAATCTGCACCCGTGCACAGGGGTCTATAAAGGATCCTTTTCAAAAGATGTCATAATTTAGAATAAATACAAATAATTCAATAAATAGGTATGTCCAAAATCAATTTCCATCATTCCAAACTAATTTAGAAATAATTAATTTATATATGCTTCTCTCCCCTGAATTCTATCCAAATTATTTTTCAAGTTTTTCTAGCAATTTAATTTTTAGGTGTTGTTATTTCAATCAAATGAGAATAATTAGAGTTTGAATTTTCGAGCTTTAAAAGTTGTTATTTGAGTCAGTTGAATAGTGCACTAAAAATTCTAATTCGATAAGTATAAACTCTTGAAAGATGATCCATCTATAAGAAATTTGAAATTGTTTAGACAAGTGCTATGGTAACTTTTGGCCGCACCACAAAAGGCACTGTAGATTATTCATTCCAAAAGATGTTACAATTCAGAACATACACTAATTCTAAAATAGGCAGATCCAAATACGTACTCGATTAATACAAATTCTACACACTTCTTCTCTCCTAGATTATGTCCAAATTATTATTTGATTCTCATGTAATTCGAGTTTGAATTTTTTGAGCTTTCAAAGTTTGTTATTTCAATCAAATGAAGAGTATAATCAAACCCTTGTTTTGACTAACTTATTGACCTCAAGGAGATTTGCAACCGGTTTCACCAACAAGGTTGGTATAACTATATTATCTCTTGGAATAAGTGTTACTCCATATCTTAAAAGATATGTCCAATTGTTCCATTGCCATAAGTGATATGGCTGAATCTGCAGTAAGGAGTTTACAATTGCGTAAATCGCTTTATTTTAGTCTTCATTTATTTATTTTCTTCTTCTTCTTTTGACTGTCCATTCAAAATTCAGAGAACAAAAATAATGTTCTACTATTGTTACATAATTTTTACATTCTAAACATTGATATTTCGTCAATAAATAAAATAGTATAAAATTCACTTGTGAAACATAAATTATATTTTCTTATTCAGACTATATTTTGTTAATCACAAGATAAAATTTCAAAAAAATTTAGGGGCTGTTCTCTTTGTATTTCAGTTTTATAATTTTGAGTTTTGAATTCATTTTGAATTTTGTGTTTTGAGTGTCTGTTTTGAAATTGTTGAAAATGCGTTCTTTTTGCCATTTTGAAAAACTATTTCTCAAATGGAACCACTTCCCGTGTTTTCAATTTTTGTACTGAAAACACTCAAAACGACAAAAATGTCGTTTTGTGTTTTCTTCACAATTTTTTTTTTCGTTTTCGAAAACGGGAAAGAGAACGTGTTTTCACCGTTTTGAAAAATCGAAAACGGTCCGAAAACAACGAAGAGAACACACCCTTATTTGCTTAAGATTCGCTTTAATAAAGCCAAAAACTAATTCTTGAAACCTCGATCCCGATTCTCCTAATCTTTTAGCATTTCCTATTTTTGGTAAAATCCTTGACACGTCATTCCACTCTTCCACTTAAAGGGACATTTTGCTTAAATTGTTCGAATTAAAATTAATTGG